TTCATCGCTCCGACACGCTGAATGGCATCTTCATATTTCCCCGTTATAGCCCCACTGAACACCATAGCATCCAGTACCCGTGGTAGAAACAACGTCGTAATGTCTTCGATTCAGGATCGATTAGTGTTCGTTCTTAATCGGAGCCTGAGAGAACCAAACGAGTCTTCGAGCTGACTATAAGCAAACGATAGTCGGCTGAAACGATGCAATGATCACTGATGTTGAGCTTCAGAGTTCGCGAGTTGTATTTAAGAACACCGATACACATCCGCAGAGGCGAGGTTGGGCGAGAGGCTGACGTCATTCGGCTCATTTCCCTCGCTACTACCGATTCCTTGGCAATGCTTTTTCTTGTCGCCTTCGAAGTGGATACCCTCTTCTTCGACCGCTCAGTTTTGCTGGCTTTGTGTATCGATATCGTGCGTGAGAACCGATTGAGACGACGGCAACTGAGCACCTGAGAACTCGAAGCATGACAACTTAATCTTTTTCTTCTGATGCTATAGCTTATGTTAGCCGAGCACACACAAAGGAGATCTCACCTTGGGCTGCGTGCTCCCTTTCGATTCGTCAGGCAAGAGCGGGAAGACCTGATAGCAGTACTGTAAGGGGCATAGCCTAGATACAATTATATCTGCTCTCACCTGACCCAGTATACCGGCAGAATTATTCGTCGAAGAGCCAACTGCAACCATTTGGTGCTTCTGGGCATCTTCCTGGTACACTGTCTCGGGCAGAGGAATAGGCTGAAGAAGGTGTTCAACGGCAACATGCTATGTCAGTCCTCAGTCAACTCACCTGAGCATCCTCTTCAGGTTCAATCGCTACACCATCAAGCTGGGACAAATCCATATCACCAGGCACTCGCATCAGGACAAATTCCAACTATAGGAGAGCGTTGGATCAATGGTCTCTCACCCTATGACGATACCTCTTCTTTTTTCCCAATCCAGTCTACAATCTTCGAGGGGAGAGTCATGGTAGCTGTGCTGCTCTGTTTCGAAGGAGACGACATTGACGGTGTGGGCCAGTAAACGTAAGCAACTAACTGAGCATTGGACGATACTCGTTCAACAGCAAGGCGTCAATGGTATCGAGACGGGCAAATGTTACTGGTATCACAATCGTACGGGGATGAGTCTCTGCAGATGGACCTCAGTCCATCGAGCCAGGAAATCCCTTCCCCCCTACTCGACACTTCTTCGTCTTCTTCAGTCTTCATCAGTACTGGTAGCAGCGAATCCGCCAGCATCTAGGAACTTGGATCGGGTCGCAGCATTGAACCTGACCAAATGTGTGACTGGCGTTGCAGTATGAAAATACCGATTGCATCAGCCGCTTGATAACCCACAACGGATACTGTCTAAAACCTCAATATCTTTACCTCACTACCTTGCGGCTTTCGATTGCTCTTTCAAGAGGCTGCCCTTGATATGTACCTTAGCAAAGAAACCTCTGCTCCCAACACGCTCCCAACGACTCGACAACTTACGTATACAGAGTTCCACCAGTCTCTCCTGTGTCCTCCAGGGTGGTACGATAGACGATCGGAATTCTAATAATGAACACCGTGCCGATATATATTCATGCACATCCGGACTCGCTACCCGCAGCGATTATTTTTGCAGTTATAACGGTACTGGATTTCGATTTTGTCTTTTCCACGATCCAGACAGACACGCTCCCCGAGTGTTAGATACTTCTTATGAAAGTGCCTGGATCAAGTGAGGACCAATGGCAGCTGTAGTTCAGCCTGCGAGATTACGTGTTCTCATCGAGGGCCAGGGCACCGTCCGTCGAGCGCCTGGGCAGTTCGTCCAACAGACAATCCGTCACCAGGGCCATCTGGCCACACAGGGAGCAGTAATACCTACCATAGGACAAATTTCGACTTTCTAATCCTTTCTTCTTGTATCATTCACCACGCTGGTTCGAGAATGTGATTGATAACATCGACTCAACTTACTGGGAAAGCTTTCCTTTAGACTTGAGATGGCTGTCCTCGCTCGTATACTCTTCCATCTAAAAAAGAATAGCGTCCGCGGGGCAACTCTTTTTCGCCTTCTCCCACTCAGACAAGTCGAGTGGTCCCATCTATCGAACATATCTACATACATGCCACTCACCTGGAAACGCTTATAACCACCATCCTGGTCCTGCATCTCGTCTCGATCCCTACGAAGATTCTCCAGATGACGGTGCTTGAGATCCAACAGAGTAGGCTGAAACAGGAACAATCCACGAGACAAACATTGCGACGAGTTAGATATCTCCCGAAAAGAATCCTCCATGAACATACCCACAAACTCGCGTTAATTTCGAGAGCGTTCGAAGATGTACGCTCTACAAGCTGAGTTCCTTGAGCGCATATACCCTCCGCGACATGCAATGAGTTGCCCTACAAAAAGCTCCAGGCGTTCCACCCGATACCCACCCCTTCGTCATCAACCGCCTCAGAGGCCTGTCCACTTTCCTTCTCCTGGCCACTTTTCTTCAACCGTATTCGTCGGGAGGGTTTTATACTGCTGATCGACTTCTCGACCTCGGCAGCCTCCTCCTCATGCAGTCGTGTCCGACGTCTGATCATCACTTCCACTACCTTCCCCAGCGCTTACATCCTCACGTACTACCTGAACTCCTCGACTTCGAATGCGTCCGCGGAAACAGCCTGGTTGAAATTATATATAGGAGCCGAAGACATTGATGTGGGATTCCGCAATCCTGGATCAGAGGCGTGAGCTCCCTGGTATGAGAAGAACTCAACCCCATCGAAGGTGTGACCCTCCGGTAACGTGACTATGGAGTAAACGTATCAATGATGATAATGAGAGCGTTACCATTCATAGTGATAATTGCGAACTGTAACAGTAGCAGACGCCGAACACCAGGCTAATTTACAGGGCACATTCATATGCGCCGATGAAAGAGCTATCAGCACTAGTAGAACCTCCCGAGAGAGTCCCTCGATCAATGGAGGTGGTAACGGGACGAAGAAAATAATAGTCGCACGCACTCCAGGGCTATTAGACTTGCAATAACCAAGGTGACCCCTGCCCAGCTAATAATGGTACGATATCAGATCACTGAGGCCTTGTCTGAAAACATTCGTATGGGTCCGATCTTGTGATGAATTCTTCGCCACTACCTATTCTTCATCTTCTGAGTCGGAGTCCTCCACGTTCAACCCGTCCGTAACCAGGTTAGGCACACAGCTCATCGAATAAGCTCCAGGTATGGTTTCCTGAAAACCAAACATGGATTCCACAAAATACCCGATCGGGGAGAGGGAAATAGAAGACATGATGAAGGCATTGCAGTCTACCTTTCGTTCCTGGAACAAGCCCCGTTGCTCCACATTGTCCGAACCAACGAACTCTTCCTCATCAAAGGACATCTTCAACCTCTTACTCGGCTGTCGCATATCTTCCTGCTCATCATCATCGATGTCCTCCAGGTACCTACCATGGAATTTATCGATACACGATCACTCCGAATGTGGGCCTACTGTTCCAGCAAACTAGCCACCGCATTGGACTCCTTCCGGGGAGTTCGTCTCTCCTCAATTGGCGATGCCAACATTGAGCCTGAAGTTTTCTTATTCGGCCGCGGAGAGTCCTGGAAGTAGTTGCGCCCTTTCTCCGCCGAGGTGGCCTGAACAAAAGGGTGGGACGCAGATATAGTATAGAGCGCAACAGGTGAGCCTTAGAACTGCGAGTCCCGAATTCCAAGACTGCCTCACAGGTTTATTTCTATGATGTCACGAATGCCGCATATATGATAAAGGATGGAGCCCTCACTGCTCATGTATATTACCTTGCGTTCCCCGACATCCTCGTCCTCCTCGTCACCGTCATCTGACTCGAACCAGTGTTCCTCTTCGCGATCTTCTCCAAATCTGTCCGCTTCAGCAGCAGTGTCGGGAAGAGCTGCTGTTTTATTCCGGAACTCATCGTTCGGCCTCGCCTGCAGCGTTAAACTTTGTATCTGGCACACTATTGGGTCCGAGTGCTCCACGGCCAGCGATATGAATCTCACCGCAGTGTTATCCAGGTTCTGTAAATAGGAGTATGTCGTGGGGTTTCTTAATGTACTACGGAGGAGCTGAACATAAAAGACGATACCAACCGTCACCGCCTCTACTCCTAGACTGACACAGTATCACGAGTATTTCAGAGTCTGAGGACCATCCAGTGCAACTACTAAAGCACAACTACTCAGCTTCCACTTCTTTTGCATTTCCGACTCCCACCCAACTCATCACCAATAGGTCGCGAATGTCACGACCCAAGATCGGCAATACACGTGATTGACCCAGATTCCCCCGAAACACGCGGAAAAAATAAATGTGAAGCCCGATCTCATATTTATTACTGATTCGAAATTCCTGATCTCATATACTATCCCGAGACACAAATTTGGTATCAAACCACCGGATCTCCCAGTCTCCGCTCGTGCGTGCAGGTACTCCAAAATGACTGGAATTAATTTATCTAGACTCGATCCAAAGATCGGATCCTGATCAATCAGATCCGAGACATACACAGACAGTTAGGCGAACTACCTTGGTGTACAACATCGAAAGAGCGAGGCGTAGACCGGCCACAACGACCTGAGGTCGAGAAAGTTTAAACCATTTCGTCTGCCTCGACATTACTATTTTTGGAGCGGACAAATCAGTGTCCAAATTTCGAACATTTCGAGTTATCCACTCCACAACAGAGCCGATACGGCGGCTCAGCAGATATCTTGCCCGGCCAGCTGAGGAAAAGACTGTGCACACGTTCGAATGATCAAATTGGATCTACTTTTATGCATCTTGACACAGTAAGCCAAGAGCTCATAGCAAGCACAGACCCCGTACGGCGTCCGACCGGACGGGTTGCTCAAAACCCTCAGTAATGTCGATACCTGATCACGCGAGTGAACGCATTATCGCACCAAGCTGCCAGAATGCGATGTCATCCCAACAAGAGTCGCGAAGCGAGGAGGAGCTTTCAACGATACGTCCCTTCGAGTACTACCAGGCCATTTTCAGAGTACATAGTCGTCATCAAACTCTCACCCAAAGCTGCGTCAGAAACTGATCATGAGGATGGAGTGATGACGAGGATCACTTATACCAACCTGCTGGCTCCAGTAGTAGTTGTATGATGTCCCTTATCTGCGATAAGAGCCCCTCGTCAGTGAGTTTGTCACAATTAGGTCGCGCAGATAGTAACCCGACCAAGAGGGAAGGTAGAGGGAGATGAGCACTTTGGTTATCGCCAGGAGTATCGACTGAAGATACCCAGACATTCACTCGCCCCAGCGCTACGAACGCACTCGATTTCATTCAATGAGCCTCACGAAGCAGAACAAATCCCAAAATCAACTCCACGGGAGACTCAGCAACTCGTGAGCGTGATATCACAATCGAGTTACGAAAAAAAGCATCATCCTTCATCTCAATAGACTCCCCTCCGGAGACTCCTACCCTGGTCAGCCGTATCGGTGCCATTCGCAGCCGACTGCCCACTTCCATCTCCCTCAGAGTCGCAGAAGTCCCATATCGCCACCGGGCAAGCCATCGATAAGTTGACCAATATATCAACCGCCACATCTGCGCCAACATCATCCATCTCCGCGATAGCATCCTTGCAAGCCTTCAGAATCGGCTCGAACACCTCTTGACGCTCTGAACGAGAGAGAAAGAATGAAGGAGACCAGGATACCATGCTTCTCCTGTTGAGGGAAGCGCGTGAAGAAAGATTGAGCGGACAATATGATATGTATCCAGCCACTACTGTAGGCACGAGCAACTCATTGGATTTTTCGATTCCCAAACAGGGCTGTTAGCGGACTACATCAAGCAACGACTATTGTAATCGCATCTCCCCGGTCGAACAGCCACAAGTTGAAGCATGTGACCGACCCCACCACCGAGATGTCGCAAGCACGATATGTCACGGATAGTTTTACTACTCATTATATCCAACGTCTCCTTCCTGTCCTGAGGCGGCATCAACCGACACATCGTGAGCACTTCCAGCACCTACAAATAATACGACGATACTGACCTGATGAATTCGCAACTCTAGTATTACGAATTTGATGCCATTATTCCTATCCTCTTTCCACTGCTTTTCATCAACCCGTCGCTCATCCTCTTTTGGGAATAGATTGGAGAAAATTGTTCCATAGTTCTTGCAGATATAGTCCAGAATGGTCAAACTGTTAGAATATCTGAAAACTCATCGAGTCAAGCCGATTCCGATATCAGCTGAGCCCGGCAAGATAACGATAATATTACTCGGAGTCAGCTGACGACTCGATAGTAGTTGATAAATGCGCTATGAGACGATCACGATTGATTCCAGTCAAAAGATCGGAAACCCACAATGGTGCACATTCATTTCCCCCTCTGAGCGATAACGAACCGAGTTTTCACTGTCGAGGACCATAGCCAGGCGAACAGCTTTCTCACGATCTTACTGTAATGATGCGAAAGTTGTGAAGGACTGCTCATCGATCAATGCAGCCAACACAGAATCCCTTAGATATCCCACACGATAGTTGAGATGGACACAGTCGAGGATGGTCGGGGGGAAGCATACTCGATTGGACGGGGGATGGTACTGGCTTAGAAACGATCTGTGCTTCACTTGACGGTATGTAGCTGAGCATAAAATGCTAGGTGTATCAATTGTTGAGCCAGAGTGTACCATCATGCTCAAGCATTCCCAGGATGTCCATGTAAATGTCATCAGTTTGGATGAGACTATATAGAACATCTGGTTCGTTCTGAGCAATCAACGCTCGTACCTGGAAGGCAAGCACACTCGACAGCACACACGATTCAGTCATGGCCACTGTTCGTGCTCACCACGCTCGCTGTTGCTGCACAGGCCTCCTCATCTCCAGTGGCTTCCGCATCATGGAACGCCTTCCGGAGACTCGACTTCCACTCGGGTGACGTGACCTGACAAACATCGCACTACCTACAAAATGCTCAAATGTGATGGTTACTACCTCATCCACAACTCGGCGATGATACGTTATGGGGAATTTCTCGCCTGAAGACCACCAGTGAGTCCATAGCTACCGATCAAATCAGAGCGACGATGCCCAGGCTAGCAATCTCTGTAAATTTATAGGAGTCATTTCACACGGAATTCGAACCCGATTCATTATAATTCCATCAAGACCAGCCCGGAAGAACACAGAAAATTTCCATGAAAACCTCGGCCTTAAGACGATGTGAAAGCACTCGTAGTCGAGGAAAACAGGACAGATCGAAGAGCTGATTGAATCCACGCTGTCCTTCATGATACCAGCCACAATAGGACAAAATGTGTGAGTTCTGATGTATAGCATGTACACAGCGATCCCTATTACCGGCTTCCTTCAACGACAGCACTACATCAACCAGGTTACTGACAGTTGGGTAGGGGATGAGAGGCGCCTGAGAACCTACTGTACCTGGGGAATCCAGAATGTCAAGGACCAACACTACCAGTCTTATTACCGTTGCTAACTTCGTCCTCGGGGGTGGCCCAAGATGCTGTTCGGCTACTTCTGCTACTGTCAGCGGACAGAGATCGATCCTTCGAAGCTCGTCGAGATGAACTTGTTGGCGTATGGCTCCCATTCGACCTCGGCGAGCTATCGCCCATCTAATACAATGTACCCTACTCTTCCACGATCGAATAAGGCAGAAACCGTGGGTCAACCGTAGCGACTCTGGAGAGATAACGTGAACTACGGTGCATCGCAAGGCTGCACTAACACTGCCAACAATTCGAATATAAACCTCTGAGAACCGACGAACTCCAAAACCCTAGTACATTTTTGTTGACTTCTTGAATCATATTCCATATCTGGATAGCACCAGCTCTATCCTGGAAACTGATTGCCAGGTCAGTCTGAATGAAGAATACGTGCAAACGGCCGCGATGCGGGGCTCGTATTATAAATGTGATCAACATTACGTTTAGATGCACGACTACACAATTTGTCGCAAATTTAGTCTATGATACTTATTAGCAACTCTTCGCAAGCCAACTATACCTCAGTCATACAGAGTGAACTACTACAGTAATACATCATCAATACTCAAACACAGTACATGGCCCTCTTGTAGGTTTTACATTCCATAGAAGCTCAGTCGAGTCGGTGAACAGAGAGTGCCATATTCCGTACGACTCGCTTAAGAACGACCCAAGCACCATCCCATCGATTACTACCTCTTTTTGATTGTTCTCCGTCCATATTAGTATCGATGGAGTATGTCTACTATAACAGTCCTTTGGCTGTACATAACTTTGCAGTATCAACTTCTCTGGATCACTATCTTCCCCAATAGAATCCTCACTGTCGGATCCAGACCTTTTTCGACGTCTCTCGGGAGCCACCTAAGCCGGCATCTATATGGCGATTTCCTATAATTTCTGTTACCACAATCCAAGCGGCAGGCCATCCATCCTCGAAGCTTGCTGTGCTGCCCTCAGCAATAACAACATCAACAAAGCCCGTTCCTCTGTCAACCCACTTCGCCCCTGCATCCAAGCTATATATCTGCCGAGTATTTGGAAATGCTAATAGAAAGGAAACTTCCAGCAACCTCACTTTCGCACGCCGCTCCGGCCTCCCGATAACGTCTGGATTAATCTCGACGATCTTGGATAGCTCCAAAGGTACAAGATTCTCCAGCCCCGGCGCTGAGGTAGGACTGCCGGATCCTCGGGGTGACCTGATGTCATCACACTGATGAACTGTAGCAGTACCGACACTGGGGTCGGCCAATGTCGTGGATTTCGACGTCGTTCGCTCATGCAAAGATCCAATGGACTGTCTTAAGGACTCCTCTCACCCCGATATTTCCAACCCCTACGTTCCCGACATGAACCGCCCCTCACTACCTCAGGGAGGAGGAGTCCGCCTTTAACTCCTCTTCATCGTGTCGAGGTACGGGGCCTGTCGGAGGCGACGGCGTCCGACTAACCTTCAGCCGCGTGCCTCCAGGAGGCGATGGTATTGGTGGAGGCATCGAGTCTCAAACCGAATCAACAGCTACCGACCAACTACTAGCTTTTGCTCCTTATAAAAGATAGTAGTTCGAGAACAACACCAAAGTTGTTCGGTGTGGACCGAATTCCAACCACTGATTTCTTATTCGCTACTTCGCGAGTAACACCGTGTCTCTGCTTCGGACGAGATAACAGTATTTTAATAACACTCATCATGAATGAGTGTGTAGGGTATTTCAGATAACACCAAAGTGTCTTACAACAACCTTCGAGTTGAGTCAACTTTCAAGAAAGAATGGAGGGACAGATTTCAAATCGCGCGCGCCCACGGATCAACTACTTGCGATGCGATTCTTCTTGTGACTTAGTAAGAGTGCGCCATCGATGATCTGAGTAAAGCCGATCGTCTTGCTTGTATAATGAGTAAGTCATAAGTGAATACAATGACGCGCTGCCCGACCCGAACTGCTCGCATGTCCAACAACATGGATGCATCAATATCCGCTCTCAAAGTTTCCTTCCTCATAGTAACATGGGCATGTGCCAAATCAAGGCCCGCACGGGTATCGGAAAACCAGTGAAATGCCAAACATTTCAGAGTCGACAACCCTTCAAATCAAAAACTGAACCTCATCACACGGAAAAAACGTTTGTTCTCGACAAAATCCTAGGCTCAGCACTCACATTGAAGATTCTGTAGAATACTTGGCAAGTACGAGACGTGTACACACGCAAACGCAACTTCTGTTTTCGCGAGCTCGGGAATTCCGGAGTTTTGACAGGTGCAAGTTACCTTATACTTTACAACACAACACTCACTGGACTCCCTACAGCTCGAAGAGCAACACTCATCTATCATCACTTGATTGGGAAGGGTATTTAGATAACGTTAGAAACGTAATCGTTAGCAGTCTCAGTCAGCGTCGGCTCGCTGTGGGATCTTTCAAGGTATACGTGCTCACAGCGATGCCGCCCACCAATAAGGGACTTCTACTGGTCATAATCGTACGGAGACATCACATCATCAATCTTGAGAATCATTTTGACCACCTGTGTCGCGAGGCTGAGTTGCTCGATCTGAAACGAAGACTTGCGAAATGAGCACGGAGAGTTCACGTATCATGATCACCTTAGAAGCCGTGGCTTCATACACGCCCTGCTTCCACATATCATTTGTGCCCTGAGCAATGCAGTCGACCCCAAATACAGGCTTTCCGGTGGATATTTGGAGATTCCTGAATGAATAGAACTTTGCTTACTGAAAGAGCAACTGGTAATACTACCTCACTTGAGCCACCGTCTTGAGTGGCTGTAACCCTGAATTCTCACTGAGACAGTTCGGAATTGTCTCAAGCGCGTCGGCGAAGGCCATCATAGAGTACTGCTCCACAGTAGGCTCCTTATCAGCAGCATCAGCGACGGCAATGCTGGCGGCGATCTCAGAACAACCACCACCGGGCACAACCTGATCGAAGTAAATGAACCCATAGCCGCTTAGAAGGACGTACCCTGCTGTCGCGGATGAGGTTGCGGACACAGCACATGGCATCATGTAAGCACCTCTTGGCCTCATCAACAGCCATCTGATTGCCACCACGGACTAGCACCGTCACCTGATCACGGAAGAGAATGGTAAGAGCCATTCTACAACTCCTGATAGCCTACAGTCTTTGAATTAGCACAGTCCTCAATGACAATCATAGAGTCCTTATCAGTAGTGCCGAGACTCAACTCCCTCACTGTACCGGCATGGCCTGAAACAAATGATTAGTATTCTATGCAGCGATGAAGCTACTCAACTTACCAAGTTTAGCAGAGGTTAACTCCGAGAATCGAGGGACGATACGGCCCCCAGTAGCAATAGCAATGAGCTCGAGCTCAACACCTCCGACCCAACGGATAGCCGGAAGGTTGCGCTGATACCTGTGGGCATGCACAATATCAATGATTTGTGGAAGAGTTCCTATTACAAAAGATGGTTGGCCTCGTCATCGAACCCCCATTGACAGATCGCCAAATTAGCACCAGATGCCAGCATTGTGTCTACCATGTCAGAGAAATACCTGAGGACGACTATGATGGTCATACCCCCAAGCGACGTTCGACTACTTTTGCTCATATTTATAAAGCTTCTTGTAGTCCTCAGCGGATTTGATGTCGATCTTATGCTTGGTCTTAGGCTTCGGTGGCTCAAATGGGCAGGTGAGAATGCCTAATTGGGACAGAAGTGAAATCCACTGGCACACTTGCACGAATTCCCACAAATTTTGGCGTCCTTAATCTCCTTCGGCATTTGGGGATGGGAGAACTCCTTGTCGATCACAATGCCATTGACTAAACAGGTATCTTCTAATCGGCCGCCAACCTTGCCCTAAATCCCATGGAAGTACTATCACGGGCAACACGAGTGAACAGCCCTACCTCGACTTTGATAAGATCGAAGTTGACGTCCTTCCGCTCCAAGTCGGCAACCGACAAGACAGCGTCGGTAGCAATCTTGGCCATCTGGGCTTGTCGAGAGGACACTATCTACTCAAGAGAGCCTGACGCTAGAAGGATCCTTCATTGACAGTACTTTAGAGCCCAGCGCGGTCATAGCAGCGTGGTGAAGCTCCTCGTTATCATTTTTGAATATATCGACCTGAAGCACCGGGACTTCACACAATGGGTACTTCCTCGGACATTACCTCCTTGCTGATCTCCTGAACACGTTTTACAGCGACTTCACAGGCCTTCTCGAATCCATCAGCGATTCGCAGAGGATGGATGCCCATCTCGAGGAGCCTGATAAAGCAATCGGATGAGCTTCGGCAGTAGTAAGCCAGCTCGCTCACTTGTTAGCTTGTTCGAGCAATGCACCAGCGATGATGACGATGCCAGTGGTACCATCACCAATCTCGTCGTCCTAAACATAAACAATATAGAATAAACACATTACAGTTCCTTGGGCCTACCTGGCTCTTCGAGAGCTCAACCATCAACTTAGCCACCTGATTCTCCACTTGCATTTTGTCGAGAATTGTGGCACCATCGTTGGTAACAGTGACGTCACCATCAGGGCCGACGATGATCTTGTCCATGCCTACCATAATGATCACGGTTATGAATTTTCCTGGGAAGAATTGCACTCACCCTTAGGGCCAAGACTAGTCCGGATAGTCTCAGCAACGCTCCGTGCGGCAAGGATGTTAGCCTGTTAAAGAAGAAGTTGCTACGTCTGCTGATGAGGCGAGGGTGTTACCTTCTGAGCGTCCAACCCGGTGACTCGCTTTTTATCATTCTGATCTTGCATGATCACGAAGGGATTACCATACTCGTCCACGGCGAGTTGGCCCACTGGGAGACCACCTAGGAGAAGAGAGATCTACGTGAGCCTATGTGCCGTGATAGCGATCTCCGGTCGAGCCTGCAAGTTCATTCCTTGGCACCAACGCACATTGATTCATGCGACATAGACACTAAAAGGATTATAGCCGTGGCTACAGCCCCTCCCTTGCGAGAAATGATGAATCCTGAGTAATTAACGATTCAATCGTCGGGAATGGGCTGTAGTCTGACGACAACTTCACCCTATACAATGCTAAGATTGACAATAATGCCCATGAAATATGACGATCAGCGTTAATAAGTTTCACTTACTTGTCCCTTCGTTGATTGATGCCATCTCCAATAACAAATATCTCCCCCAAAAATTGTTGTGCCGAGGGGTGAATGCAGCGAAACCGAAATGGAGGCGGAGCGAAGCTTTGCACGTTTACCAGTTTTGGCCAATTTGCAACCACTGCGACAACATCGCTCATCTTAGAGAACTTCGCTTAGTAGTGCGTGACTAAGCAATTAAATGGAGCATCAGTAAAGTCAAACACGGTTCTCGGAGGAGTTGCAGAGGGAGTTCTCGTCAGCCCTGCCGGATCCAGCCGTCAGTGTTCAACTCGTTCTGCTGCTAGCCCGGGCTCGGATGAATAGGTGATTACCTCGTCAACTGATTTGGATATAGAGTGGTCGATCCTATCAGGCTAGCTCGGACTCTAGATTCGAGGCACGATTTCACTGTGCTGGTCATGGCTCGGTACAAATATGATACTCTTTTGAGGCTCCTGATCTGGGAAATCATCAGGCTGCTTGTTCAAGTTTGTGGTTAAGAGGTATTGTTTCATGGAAACTCGCGTTTCAGTTCCACTGGTGAATATACTCTCGATAGCAGTGTCGAGCGAGCATGATCGAGGATGTAATAATGATGCAATCTCAGCGAGCCCGATCACCAAAGTGGAGCAATCATTTCAAATCGTCTTCACAATACTTGGGGATTCTGACGGGGGTTTTGGCAATCTCTTTCTCTCTGGGGACTCGGGAAACAGTGCCCGCAGCAGGTTTGAGGGATTTCCGTACATGACCCATGTCCTGCATACTTGCTCCGTGAGTCACAAGTTGATCCAGAACGACCATTTTCTTCCTTCCGACCTCAGACTCCCCTTAACTCTTATTGTAGCGAGTCACTCATAGCGGAATTGCTGATAGCAAAGCTCAGGAGTTGTTTGTATTGATCCAATACTACTGACGGGTCGCCCACTTTGAGCCGTCTTATGGGAGAACGCGGTATCATTGCCAGGAGACTGATCACTCGGTGACTCGTGAAGGACGTGACTAAGAATTGTGATTCCCTCCATTCGTCTTTTCGTGCGTGAGTTCAGTAACTCCCATCAAAGAACACAGTAGCATAAGTTGATATACAACTTGTATAATACAGGGGCCATGGATATTCTACTGGTGGGATGACTCACAATGCTAACCGAAGTTTTGCGGCTCGTCTCACGATGACCTCGCATTCGATAACCTGACCAAGCAAAACAGCAAAACTCGAACTGGATCGAATGAACACTCACAACGGTGCCACTTGTAACTGATACAAATGAGGATCGATCATTCGTCAGTAGACTATCTGGCATAGTGGTAAGAGAAGGCCTCCCCATGTAGGTATCTGTCATCACGTTTCATAATCTCTAGCAGGAAGCTACTTGGCCTCACGTAGTGCATCTGTCAACCGACTGAAACGGCTACTGCCGATGGCTCTCATAGTCTGACAGTGAAGACGATGCTCTCCTGGTTTTGTCGGGAGGGGAAGCAAACCGTATGACACTGAAATCGATTACTCCCTACGGATGACATGCTTAAATCCCACAAAGCGATCCTCCAATTGAACTATTTCCCTCAGAGCCACCAGCATCATCGACGGCATAGACCAGCACTTTCAGAATCGGCCATGAAGCTATAGAATTGAAAGCTAAGTAGAGATCCAGGGGATGGTTCCATACATACACCGACGTGCCGATAAGATGACGGCTGTCCTGGAAAGGAATGATGGCCCACAAGTCAGAGCGTATCTCTGCCGTACATCAGGATAGCATGTCTGAGTTTGTTCCGACCTAAGTGTTTGACTACTGATCGGCATCCAACCTAACTTCCGGCATTTGCCCAACCACTGCTCACCTGACGAGA